AAAAACATTCTGTGATAAATGGTTATTTCAGACAATTTCTATCTGCATACAAACCTTGTCTTCCTGGTAATTTTAAAACCTAACTTGTCCCCCTTGCTTATATTACCTTATGCCTCAAATAAATCCTTAAAATAAACATTCAGTATATTGAGACAAGCTAATTGGCTGCATGTTAAAAGTGATGCAACAGCCACAGACCGCTTACCAAACAGAAGTTGTTAAACTTCTCTCCCCTAATTTGAACTTGACCCATTGAGGTGGTTTTAAAAGTTTGGAAACAAGGGACAAATACTTAAATACTTTTGCTTTGGTCATAGTAGGCGGCTGATAACTGTGAACAGAACTACCAGTACAAGTAAACTTGTCTCCATTTCCATTTTAAATACACTTATTATCAATTAATATATGACTGTTCTCTACTTTTGCTAAATGGCATACTTGTTATTCTAAAGGCTTTCAAGAAATATGAAAACTTAACTATAACCAGGGATCTGGGTGTTCTGTTTCCCACAGAAAAACGCAGTAAAACATGGATTTCCCCCTTTACTGGAGGGAAATGCAGGTTTCTCATTTTATCAGAGAAACCTGAGGATTTTGCAGTTTTGCAATGAGTCCTCTGCAGGCTGGCAGAGTCCCAGTCCGCAGGGGGTTGGGAGGGAGCAGGAGGGCCGTCAGGCAGGGGGCACCACATGAATGTACAAGCACATAGCTGCCTGGCAGCCTGGAGAGCAGGTCCTGCAGGTAAGTGGCTGGGGAGTGAGGTCCCCACAGGGAAGGAGGGAGTTGGGGTTGGGTAGGGCTGGGGCTGTTGCCTAGCCAGGTAATGTGTGGGGCTTGGGGCAACAATGCACAGCTGCAGGGCCCCAGCAGCATGAATGATGCGTGGCCCTGGAGGCTGGGGGGGATGGCAGCAGCAAGCGGGAGCTCCTGCAGACACTGCCAGTGCTGTTGGTGGGGGGGATGTGAGCGCCAGCCAGGGGTCAGCAACCACCCACAGACACCACCAGCAGCATTGGTGGCGGTCAGTGGTGATTGCAGACCACCCGCAGATGCTGGCAGCATGGTGCCTCAGGGGTGGCAAGTGCCTTTTTGTAGGGGGTGCCTTGCCACGCTCAGGGGGTACACATGTGCATCTTCCCTGCCTAGCAGGGAGTGGGACTGGGCCATGGCTATCTCGTTTGGCGGAGGGGTGGTGGTGAGGGGCACCAGCTGGGGGGCTGTGGGAGCCTTTCATTCTAATCATGGATTTTTGGTTTTTTATCAGAGAATTTGCTATTTTTATCAGGGAAAACCAGGATCCCTGATTATAACTCCAGATGTTCATAAACTTCATGCTCTGATAGACTTACAAATGTCTAAAACCTGCCAGAAAAAACATATTGTGACATTTAACAATTACTCAAAATAGTCAATGAAATCAAATGTATCATTCAAAGTTCAAATAAGTCCTTATTTTGCATGAAATATCTTATTTGAAACTGCAAATAAAAATAAACTTGAAAGAAAATTAAAATAACTAGCACAAATGCATGTAAATAAAAGCCATTCAGTAAAATCAGTCATATTTTTCTGTATAATGCAAAACTGGAATGTACACTATTAAGGTTTTGTATTTGATCAAGGAATACTTTAGAATCATGCTATTCTGGTAATTGTGTATGATCCTTGAGAAATAAATTGGACTTACCTAGGGTCTTTCTGGATGCTGTCTATGGATGGAGATCTTGTTGTACCATCATCAGCTGGTGTTGCATGTTGTAGCCTGTTATAACTGGATTCTGACAGTCGGTAAGGCATTGACCTGTAGGGTTCCGCATAGGTAGCTGCTGTGTTCAGAGCATAATTATTTCTTTGGTATGTAAGTGTGCTACGTTGACTGGATGTCCGTTGCAGATTTCCAAAACCTGGTGTAAAATCAGTATTAAAGGATAATAAGTTATTTTCTACAGACAACTATTAAGAGGCAGAGTACTTGGTTAAAGTAATGCAAAATTAGAGTTGAAGTGAGCCTGAAATACCCATATGTCTAAAAACTATTATTAGACTTGAGGGACCAATCACATCAATATGAAAAGTTTTTGCCAAAGAAGTCCCAAGAAAGATAATGAGATTAATTATACAAGTAAAGTTTTTGTGGCATGAAACCCAAATTGTTTCTAAATGAGATTAACTGTTTGATTATTTAATGTAACAAATGGTACTTTTGTCAAAAACATTAGCAGTAAACAAGAACTGAGCTATAAAACAGTTACAAGTAAAATAGCAGACTGCCCTTATATTTATTGTCCACCTAGTGCCTTTCATATACTAGATACTAGCTTGTTTTGATCACTTGAGCAATCTGAATAGGAGGAGGGTGTTGGCCTGAAAGCTGTAGACTGGAAAGGAAACAGCTGG